AGCTTATAAAAGCTTATTTGAGCTTATAAAACTTAAACTTTGTTGCCAAGGCTAGCAAATGACCACGGGACAATCCACGGCTAGAATTAAACACTTTTAATTATCTCTATACTAAATCTACCCTTTTTCCTAGAATAAAATCATAATGAATTACTATTTTAACTCAATCAAACAAAAACAAAAAAAATCCAAATAATTGATAGATTCTTTTCTATGGCATTGGTATTTTTGCCAATAACTATAAAAACATAAGCAGAAACTACCTATTTACTTTTATTTTGCAAGAAGGTTAATTGTTAAAATGTATTTAAAACTGTTACGTCTCCAGTCAAGTGCTAGTATTTTCACTCCCAAATTCCCACAACGTTTTAGGAATTCTTTTTGATTGTTTGCATTATAATCTTTTCTTTTCAGATCAAAAGACAAATGTTGGCACAATATGTATTGTGAAAGTAATTTGTAGATCATGTGCACTGTGCAGGATATCCCCACAATTAACAGCATGCGTTCCCAGGGTAGGAGTTTGGCATTGGTGCTTTGGGCTCACTGTCACTCTCCTAGAGCCCAAAGCTGGTTGGGAATTTTCTAGGTACGGGGGGCAAATAGAACTTGTGACCTCCGTTATGACAAGATTTGGGAAATCCATTTAAGCACAGATAACTGGTCAGGGTTAGTTCCCATGTTCTTCATGTCATTAACCTCGATCACGCTTCATCACCTGAAAAAGTCTGGGAACATTTTCACAGGCTATTCTTCCCATTAAAAATGGATCAGGGCCTAGATTTAGAAAGACTTCCCAGACCCTATCACTACTAATGGAATTAGTCGATTTCACACAAGCACAGGCAACTACTAGACTGCTTAGCAGACAGTGCTGATCTGATTTAGAACGAAGAGGAAGAAGAGTATTTTGTTTGTCCATTTACACCTGCATTCAAATACAGGGAGGTCATGATTGTGTGGGATAGTCTGAAGAAGAATGCTTTGTATCTCAAGAGTTTTGATATATTTCTTGCAATTTAAAAGAACTCTTTTCTATTTGACTTTTTAAATGCAATATATTTCTGTAACGGCAAAGCTGAATTTTCACATGATCCTTCAGAAATCTTTCTAATATGCTAATTATTGTTGCTAAAAATATTATTAATGGTTCTTAATTAATGCTTATTTTGTGGAAGTCATTTTTTCAGGATTCTTTGATAAATATCCAATTTAAAACAACAGCATTGAAATAGATATATTTTGTAACATTATAAATGTTTTAACTGTTAGGCTACTTCTGATTTAAAGGAGTAGTTCACTTAAAAAAAAAAAACTTTTGCTGATTATCAGCATGTCAGCCATGTGATTGGTTGATTAGATAGTTGCTTTAGGTAAGTGTAATAATCCTTTAGGTAAATGTATATGCTTGTGTTTGGTTAAATATGGCTCTCCTCCAAAATGTCTTGAAGTAATATTTTACTTGTGAGGAGAGCGTTGAAGCAAACTAGTCCTGTCATCTTATTCTGTCGTCCGTCCTTGAACTGTAGTCCTGTTCAGTTAAGTCACGACTCACGAGTTATTAATTCTGAATCGAAGAATTTGAAATTCGATTTTGTGAATTTATTGGCAACTTTACCAATAGTCTCTGACTTTATTCAACTGACGAAGTTTTAAGTAAAGGCGACAGAAAGTGACGACATTTAGACTGCATAACAAGACAATATTAGGGACACATAAGAAGCCAACAGTTAAGATGACTGAACTGAACAGGAATAAAATAATAACTCCGGCTGTAAGGGAGAATTAAACATTTATGAGACCATTGGTGACCTGTAACTTCATATAATTAAAATAATTCCTATTATTTAATTAACATTTTAGTTTTAGCCCTTCTTGCTATGTGGAATCTCAACCAGCAGAGGTCACTCTTCCCCCTTCTGTGCACCGACTCTTTCTGTGACGACGACTGGCTTGTGTTTATCAAAGAGAAGGCATAGGCAAGCACTGTACCAACAGAAGGTAATCACTGAGTTCACCTGCTCTTTCTATGGAACTATAGCTGCTAAAAACTCTCAGCTTCCACCATCTTCTATTACCTTCTGTGTCAAAACAAAACTCATCCAAAACAAATCTATAAAGTTTTTTTTTCTTTGCATTTTTCTCCAGTGTAATATACTTATTATGATATACTCATTATGTTAGATTAGATAAGTAGAATAGTTTTTATGCAGCTTGTAGTTCTCATTAGTTATGTAGACCTACTTGTGTGTGAGACATATTACTCAAAAATGATCTCTAGCTCTGGGACTTTCAGATCTTTTGGTGCTTTTTTGGGTTTAATACTTTGATGAACCACCAGGGAAAGGCAGTGCTCTGTACTCTTCTTGGTACTTGTGTAAAGTGAAATAAAAGTGAAGTTAAATCTTTTAGTTTTTCTCCCTACCATCACTCTCTCTTCAAATAAATGAATCTCATCCTGAGAGCAACACATTCCCCTTGTAGTGTTTTACATCTGCTTTACTGAAGTGATAGATAATAAATGATGCTCTCCAATCTTTTTTTACGTAAAGTGTGGTGTTGGTTGTGTAACTTCACTGAAGTGAATAATTTTTTTCATTGGAAAATTTTAACTTTTATTTATTTAACTTTTATTTAATTTAAAATTTTAACAAATTCACCGAAAACACCATGAAATGGAAATAAATAAACTAATTAATATTGTAAAGTGAACAGCGCCAGGATTTCACAACCTGAGTCAAGATGAGAGAAGCCAGGCATGTGCAAATCAAATTATCGTCAGTTATACAGATTCCTGGGCTCACACATCCCTGAACAGTACCTGACCGTACCTGACTGAGAATGCAGTACCTCTAGCGGCCTCCAGTGGCCACTTACAACGACAGTGAAGAGAACATAACAAGACGACATTTAAAGGGATATTTTACCTCTGGAAAGATGAATGTATTTAAAATGGGTAATTTATGTAGAAGAAATGTGAAATTATTTAAAAATGTGGAGGTTTCTAGACTTAGAAAAGCCAGAAAAAGTATTTTTGGCTTATGTGGATAAAAGACAGCTCCCAGAATGCACTTGCTTCACTGCCCTAGGAGGCCACGCCTCAACAGGGACTCTGTTTTGCTTCAATAATACTAGATATAATACAGTGTCAATCTTATTAAATACTATTTATTTTGTATAAAATCATACAGTACCGGTCAAAAGTTTGGTAACATTACTATTTTTAAAACATTTTTTGGAGCTCATCAAGCTTGCATTTATTTGAAAAAAAAAAGTAATATTGTGATATATTATCATAATGTAAAACAGCTGTTTTCTATGTTTCTGTTTTCCATGTGAATATACAGTATAGTAGTGTAATTTATTCATGTGTATAATATTATATCATGTAACACTGAAGACTGGATTAATGATGCTGAAAAATCATCTTTGCATCACATGATTAAATTATAATTTAAAGTACTGTATATTAAAATAGAAAACCATTATTTAACCATTAAATTTTAATTATATTAATATAAAACCTTCATTTAAATGTTTATAAACCTGTTTGCACACTGTTTTTGCTGTTGTTTGTGCTTTGTTCTATAGTAAGTGACCTGAATTATTAACCAAATACTGAGTCTGTATTTCGTATGTCGTTGAAAAGTCTCCTAAATAGTTTAGGGCAAATGAGTTTAATTAGACCACTGCATGTCCGCCCATATTATATTAATTAAAAACTAAAATGACCAACTGGTTTCCAACACACTACTGTTGATCCACGATGCTGCCACAACGTCGCAGTTACTGACAACGTTACAAAGTTACGTTGTGGCAACGAATCCAGGGATTTTACTTTTTCGGTTGCCACGACGTAACCAGTTAAGTTGCCGCGAAAGTTTGGTCACCAGATTACGTTGCCGTTACATAACAGTCACATATTTTTGTTAGCTGGGACAGCTCCAAGGACGAACGACAGAACAAATCGACATAAACAAAGAACATGCAAATCAACATACCAATTTTTTTGAACTACTAGACAATGATTGTTGACAAGGACAAATGTGTAGTACAAAGCACAAAGCATTCGACTCATTTTTGGCACAAATGGAACCCCATAGTGGTACATTTTGTATATATATATATATATATATATATACATTTACTTTCATAAAAGCTTATAATGAAATTTACATTTTGTATTTTTAAGAATAGAAGAACAGTGGGGGGAAACAGATGCTAATGAACTACTACATCTATTTCTATTCACATGATTTGTGGACACTTTGGGTTGCTAATCCTACAACTTTATTAGAATAGTTTAGAATTGTATTGGGCATTTGAGACAGTAAATGCACAGGAAAATCGATAGATTTTGGAACAGTTTTTAATGGAACAGTTTTTATTGAATGTAATGTGTTGCACTTTCGTGGCCAGTTATTGTTATTGAAAAGACATAAGCATTTAACATGAGTCTCTTGTAATTTAAATTTCTCCGGTATTTCTAGCAGTAGGACATTGTTCAAAAACAACAGTGTTATGTATGACGCAAGAAGCAGAGCAACAAGGTTGGAAATTTACCTCAGCAATAATAATTAGCGAGCGTATAGAGAGGGTTTAGTTTAGTCATGATCTGATGCAAGTTCATTTTTCGAGTGCATGATTCTTATTCGCATTTCCACAATGCAAAAGTGCCAGGCTGAGACAAAGTCCTTTTAAAGGTAAACAGTCTCTGGTTGAGAGCAGCTTTGTCCAGTCTGGACGTAACTTAGCGAGTACAAAACCTTATTTAATAATATAGCTACAATTAATTAATTAATAATAATGTATCTTAAATACAGTGTCACGAGTATATAGTAAGCTAAATGTAATGATGTAAAAACCTGTGGCTTCGTGATAATTTCGCATGGGACAACAAACCATGATGCGTCACCGTGCTACGCCATCAAATGGGCGTGGTTTGTTGTAAAAGGGGGCGGTGTTGATGTGAGTGACACATAAGCGGACGAATCAAAGGTCGCATGGTCGCAGGCTAAAGATATTTGTTTACAGTCGAGCGCGTTCATAAGTTTCAGCTCTAGTCGTCACCCTCACGCGTTCATTTGAAGGTGTGTAAACGGGACTTGGTGATCATGTGGAACTCAGCAGCTTTCGCTCGGAGTTAACGCTCACATATTTGGGAAGATGTCGGTAGCAAGCGTCAAAAATCAGTCGATAAATTACTACAGCGAAAACACACCGAGGGACGAGTATCAGAATACGTGACACTGACAGGTGAGGATGGAGAGGATGGAGAGGACCGCGCTCCGGCGCTTCGGGGACAGCGGCATGATGCTTCTGCCCTGGACTAAACAGATCCTGACGGTTGTGTGGGAACACTTGCGACTGCTGCTCCAGGTCATCTGCTGCACTTTTATGACGGGTAATTTTCTGATTCATAGATTTGCGTTTTAATGCATTTTATGCTATCCATATGCTTGGCCATCGCAGATTTTAACTTACATAATCAGATTTACTCGGTTATAAGTACGTATACATGTCAGCGTGATGATTTCTGTGAAAGTGCAAACTGGGTTGATCAATTTATTTGCATATGTAAATTTTTGATTTGCACGATTTTGGTCACACTTTAGATTAGGGTCTAATTTTCACTATTTACTAGCTAGTACCTAACTACGACGTTTGCCTCAATAATCTCAATTAATAGTTAGTAAGGTCGTTGTTTTTTTGTTTTTTTTTAACTATGTTTTTATTGAACTTTTCTTATATAGAGAGAAAAAAAAGAAAAGAAAAAATAAAATAAAATAAAGTAAGGTCGTTGTTAAGTTTAGTTTTCTGGTAGGGATGTTGAATATGGTCACGCAGAATAAGGCATTCATGTGCTTTATAAGTAGCCTACTAATAATATCCTTGTTATATGCATGCTAATAAGCAACTAGTTGATGAAAATGACCAGCAGTTTATTATAAATAAACGCATAGCAGTATTACTGTAAGTTACAGGTCTAATTATGTTAACATTATTATGAGTTATGGTCTAATTTGTTAACATTAGTTATTATTGCATTAACTAACATGAACTAACAACGAGAAATATATTCTTACAGCATTTATTAATCTCATGTTAGTGCATTTACTAGTGTTAACAGATATATATATATATATATATATACCTGTATATTGATCATAAAAATGTTTTAATCAATGTTAATTCATTAAATGTTAATGAATGCTTTAGGAGTTCATGTGAACTAATGTTAGGAAATTAAACCTTATTAATAATAGTCCACACACATACATACATATACATATACATATATATATATATATATATATATATATATATATATATATGTATTTGTGATAGTACTAAAGTTTTTTAAAAATATTAAAGTGTAAAAACACTAAACAAGGGAAAATGATAGAAATACTAATCATAAGTAAATATGATATATATCGGGGGTTATAATTGTTTACTTAAATATTAAGATTATTATGAAAATTTCGAATATTTTCACTTTAGTTTAGCATTTTTACATTTTAATATTTTTTATCACAAGTACGCACAAACACATTATATATATATACATACAGTGTATACACACTGTTTATATACTATTTAATTTATCTATATACATTTATTGAATGGCCCTTGTTTGTGGTTATGGCCTGAAGTAACTCCAGTAACTTCCTCTTGTTTGGTTCCCAGTTTTCCAGATGTTCAGGTTTGAAGTCCATCTGAGAATCACAGATGAGACAGGGCAACACATTCAGCACATGACAAGTGGCTCAGGAGACCCATCTGACAGTTTCCTGCTCTCTTCCTTGTTTGAAAACAACAAAAACATGGTGGTCGGGGGTTCCAGTTCGCTTTCGAAATTCGGCAGAGACCCGTTCGACGTGGGCTCCCACTCCAGAGCCGTCCTGTCCAGTCTGGTCAGCGATGAACTCTGTTGCTCCTTGGTGGACGACCTCGTGTCCCATGCAACAGAGTGCCTCAATGACACAGAAGATCTCTACATTGGAGATCACTCCGTGTGGAAACACGGATATGACTGGACCGTTTTAGGAGGTTCCGAGAGGAAATGTGCAGAGAGCACCTGCACTTTTTCCGTGTCGGGGTTTTCCGCAAAGGACTTTGTAAAGCATCAAAAGCCCATCAGTGATCCTGACACATCTGGTTCATCTACAGAGGATGTTCAAACTCCATGTCAAGTGCAGTCAGTCGCTCATCTCTCGGACAGCGAGTTCAGCTGGGGCAGCACAGACAGCTCTTGTCTCGAAGGAGAACGCGAGGAGAGCGACAAACTCTGGGAGCTTCTGACCAGCTCGACGGATCCATATCACCCGATGCACTTCACGGCGTGTTTGTCCAGTGCGGCAAGCAAAACGCAGGAAATTTCAAAGCCTGAAAGCCCCACGTCACAATCCACAGCATCTACAGGCTCTGAATCTTCCAAAGCAGGTTCTGAAGATGAAGAAGAAGAGGCCTTGTGGAGATCCCTCTCTCAGAATGATGACCCATATCACCCGCTGAATTTCAGAGCGCCGCTTCAAAGCTCACCAGCAACACCTACACCTCCCAAACACCATTCACCCAGCCAGACCACGCAAGGTAAAGCCAGACTCTTCAAATCTACGAGGCGCTCAAAGCTGCCTTCACCACCAAGCAAAGTTCCTCGCCATTGCTGCCACAAATTACCCTTAGAGACATTATCAGTGGTGCCATGGAGAAGATATGTTGGTCTGACAGCGGTTCAGGGCAACCAGAGGAAACGTGCTACTTTTAAGAAGGTAATTATCAGTCTCAAGGTGTGGTCAAATTTACCGTTTTTCAACGAAATAATTCCGCATGCATATTTCACAACAGGTTCCAGTTGATTGAATTCCAACAGAAATCTGTTTGGTTTTTGAAACTCTGTCACGCATTTGTACACTACTCTGTAAAAATGAATACGCTTTATCTAATAAAATAATGTTTATAAGCAATATTGTTAATTAAATTTAACAAATTAGAATTGAGTAATAATTAATCAAATTAATTCCTTAAAAGTTAACCATTTAAAATGAGTAAAACCTTCAACAAAAAAAAACAAAAAAAAAATTTAAGTCACCATTATGGTGATCAGTGTTTGTTTTAAAATGACGTTTTTCTCCTTCAGTGATTCTGCTTGTTAACATCAGGTGTCTTCAATGTTGGCAATATAAAATAAAGAGTTCTTAATTAATCTTTTATTCAGATATTTTGTTAATTTTTTTGGTGTAAACTTTACTCATTTTAAATGGTTAACTTTTAAGGAATAATTTGATTAATTATTACTCAATTCTAATTTGTTGAATTTAATTAATAATATTGCTTGTAATCTGAATTTTATTGATTAAATAAAGCATATTAACTTTTACATTGTTCTGACAATAGAACATTTTGGCTATTAAATTTCTCTGAAAATGCGCTAATGCGACCACGCCTCATGTTTTCATGTTTTCCAGGTGAAATTTTCTCCCATCGTACAAGTTCATAAGATGCACACTTGGTCCTTTGCTCTTCAAGCTTCACGTAAGGGACCGTGGGAGGAGCTCGCGCGGGACAGAGACCGATTCCGAAAGAGAATCGGTGAAACTGAGAAGGCCATTGGCTACTGTTTTAGTTTGTCACACAGGGAAAAGCTGTGGGCCTATAAGGACAACCTACAGAAAGAAAGAAAAACAGCCCTTGATCTGCAAAATGTTGCTTCTGATTGTAATTATTGATCTTATTATTCCAAGGCCAGACTTTAGACTGTTATATTGACTTAAATTGACAATTATACCTCACTGCTGTGTCCCAACACACAATATACCTTGACTGCTACTAAATGTTAATCATTTTTTGCTAGGCCTCACAGATTTTCAGTGTGACTGATCACATATTTATTTTAACACAAATTGTGGATTAGTAGGAGTTATGGAGTAGTAGACTAGTGTTATTTTATTTGAAGGGACAGGTCACCCCAAAATGCTGTCATGTACTCACTCTCATGCGGTGTATATATATATATATATATATATATATATATATATATATATATACCACATGAGAGTGATTTGACCCTTTTGAGAGTGAGTTCACTCTTTTTTTTAAAGAAATTAATACTTTTATTCAGCAAGGATGCATTAAATTAATTAAAAGTGACAGCAAATACATTTGTAATGTTAAATATTTTATTAAATATTGTTCATTTCTTCGATCTATCACATTTCTACAAAAATATTAAGCAGAACAACTTGTTTTAACCTTGACCAAAATAATCAGAAATGTTTCTCAAGCAGCAAATCAGAATGATTTCTGAAGGATCATGTGACACTGAAGACTGGAATGCTGAAAATTCAGATTTGATCACAGGAACAAATTACATTTTAAAATATATTAAATACAAAACCATGATTTTAAATTGTAATAATATTCCACAATTTAAAAATGATACTGTATTTGTCTTTAAAGTAGAGCCAGACCGATATATCGGCAGACTGAAATTATTGGCCGATATTAGGCATTTTCCAAACTATCGGTATCGGCAGTTATAATAGCCGATAAATGAATATTTCAAAAATAACATAAAAACGGACGAAACACGCTTGAACCATGTCATGAGTGTTGGAGTTGTATAGCTTGTCCACCAGAGGGCACTCTACACCGTTCCTGTTGGCAACACTCGTTGAGTTGGTCACGAGACATACATTGCTTGAATAACAATTAAAAGATCATCCCCATCAGTTCTGTTTAACTCAAATAAGCATGACAAAATTTGTGACTAATCATGTCCAGTTTTAAAAAAATAAATAAATAAAATATCGGCCGATTTATCGGAATATCGGATTTTAAAACCCAAAAATATTTGTATCGGTATCGGCCTTCAAAATCCTTTATCGGTCGGGCTCTACTTTAAAGAAATGCATTGGTGATCGTAGTAAACTTATTTAAAGAAAAAAAAACCTTGCAACAATGGTGCTATTTTAGGATGAAAATGTCATCCTACATCCTCTGTTCATAGGCATAAAAAATACTACTATTATCCAATATTTGCTTAACTTGACTTCACTGATCATTGCAATTTGTACTCGAGAATGAATAAAATGGCAGTAACTCTTTAGCTTTACAGAAACTGTTTTTTGTATTTTCTGCACACTTCAAGGCCCGGTTTCACAGATTAAGCCAGGATTAAGCCTTAGTTCAATTAGGACATTAAAGTAGCTTTTAGAAACGTGCCTTAGAAGAAAATGAAACATTGCCTGTGTGCATTTTGAGAAAACAATGGCACTGATATATATTAAGATAGGCCCATACAAGTTCCTTTCAGTTAAAACAAGAAAGCCTCGCTTATCTGTGAGACCGGGGGTACGTGTTTCCCTATCACGGCCTTCGTTTGTTTCCTTGATCGTTTGTTTTGGTTGATCTCACTAGTTGATTGTGTCTCGGACTGAGACTGCAGAGGTGGAGAACTCCTGTGAGAGCGCCGTGTGTAAGAGAGGGTTAAAAACAAAGCGTGATGAAACTCTCTCCCTTGACGAGAAATCAATTAGCATCTCCCCTCGACACAGCGGTCGCAACACACACTTGCATGGTGCAAAGACAAGCAATCGTTTACGCAATCTTACACGCTGTGACAACAGAATTTAATGATGCTTTGTCCTTGAGTTAATTGGATGGCATATCAAACACGTTTTATCGATCAGATGTGCTATTTAACACTAGTGACACGAAAGCTCACTTGTACTTTTCCTGTTAGCTTGTTCAAACAGTGTCAGTTTGGAAAGCAACAGATGTGTGAGCATGCAGTTTTGTTCTGGTAGTTGCATGCGGTGTGTTCCTCTCCTAAGGTGTCTTCACCCAGGTGACCCTGGTCTCTAAGCAACCGAGCACAGCAGTGTCTGGCAGTGAGGATTGCATATGATTGCAGCAGGGGTTGGTGTGTTGTGGGAGGGCGGCCAGCCTCTATTACTCATCCTGGAGAGTCCAAAGCTTGAGACGGGGGATCTCTGGAGTCACAATTACAAAGTGCTGACTGCCTGATGCAATAGAGTAATCAGCAGCCACGGTGTGTGAGACACACACAAAAGGCAGCACAGGTGGTAGCCGGACACATCCTTATTACAGGGAGAAACTTGAGCTGGATCACGCTATAGTCACCTTGATATAAAGTGCATTTGCCAGAGGTTAAAAACATGAATCATAACAAATGCTCACACTTCCCTGCCTGATATGTAAAAATATTTGAATATTCAAATGAGTTACAGCAGCTTCACAGAGCCATTTTGTCAATGTGAATGTGAGTGAGAGGCCTGCATACATGAAATCTTTTTTTGGAGTATTTTGTGTGCGTGTAGGTTAATTTTCTTATGTGAGGGGTAGCATTAGGGTTTGAAAGATGATGTATACAGTTTTATATTGTGTGTATCACTTTTGTCTTCATGTTTAAAGTTCCGTCGCACAGGCAGAACTTTGGGTTAGGATTCTTTGAAAGCCGACACGCTAACATCGCTGCTGAAGAACTGTGCTACACTACTAGGCTACCTTCAATAAAGGTACCTTCAGGTTAGAGGATAGAATATACAGTTTGTACAGTACAAAAAACATTATTACTATGGAAAGTCCCCATAAATATAAAAACCCAATGTGTGTGTGTACTGGTTTGGCTTGTTGTGAGGGTCAAATGTCCTAACTTATTGTTAAGGGTAGACGTGACTGAATCGTCATGAGCAGATGTAGCACTCAGGAGAAGTTAGATGAGTTTGCATAGATGGGGTTTTTTATTATCCACAATTAAGGCCAATGAAAAGCAAAAAAAAAAAAAAAAACCCAACAAAAAACACTTTTGAATTAACAAAGTAAATTGACATGAGAGTAAAAAAATAATAATAAGTAACAAACTTTTACAACAGTTCAAAAATTGACCTTAACACAAATCAGTATATTAGAGCAAGGACAGACTTATGTCCTTTCACCCCAAGCTCCCTTGACAGAATGAAACCTGAGGTCACCCGGGTCACCCATGGAATTGGAACATACCAACACATGATTATGATACAGGGGTGGCTCAGATGACAACGACACGAATGCTTAAAAACAGCATGAAATACAACCTCTATAAACTAGAAAATTATAGAATATTATTTCTAGGTTCAGCTGACAATTGGCAAGCAACAAGTCACATTTGACACCTACAAATTAATTACTCAAACTCCGAGTCACTTTTGTATTGCCCCGGAAGTCATAGCGTTATTTAAACTCCACAATGGCGGCAAATTTTCCTTTACACAAACAAACCGGAGACGCCAGTACGACAAGAATGGTATGTCAAAACAAAAGCAATGTTTCTCTTAAACTAAATAAACAGATACCTATTGAAAACATGTATTGTGTGATTATTGTAACTGTGACTGTGATGTAAATGACATGATTTTCTTTAAAACAGCAAGACTGCAGTACTATTAGCTGTTAAAAGTGTGCACACCAAAGCTACGGGACATAGCTATGAGATTTTGTAGTGAAAGGCTAGATTAACCGCTGATTTGTAACCGTATAAAGATCAACAAAAGACATTAATGTGCTAGACAAACATACAGATCATATTTGTACTCAGTCTTTGTGTAAGTTACTAGAGTATGCAGCAATAGCTATGCGCCCCGTCACACTCCGGAAGTCGGCCATTTTGGAGGCACAGAACATAAACAATGCCATTGAACTGAATGGACTCGCAAATTTGGCTGATTATTTCTGCTAAAAAAGGGTCGAGATTTGGTCTGTACTAATCGGTCGCATCGGGAAAATACCTTTCAAGTTTTATAGACTGCCAAAAGTTAAAGAGAAGAGTTCAAAAGAGAAGAGGGCGTTTGTGGTTGAGAGAGGCACAGCATCAGCTCATCAGCCACTGAGCCACAGGTGTGTAAATGACTATGCCATTTTATATGTGTAGACAGAATGCCGATTAAAGTCGTATGAAATACAATTATAATACAATTCTAAGTTATTAGTAGCTACTGTATGCTGTAGACTACTGATTTTATTTTTTAAACGGTGTGAAAAGTAAAAATTACCATCAATTCATCTTTGACTTGTCAAAGTAACGTTACACCTTTCATCATAGTAACTGAAACTTTCAGTTATTCTTTTTCAGCTGGCTGACCGTACAAATATTCATATGGTAGTAAGCATTTTTTAAAGGGAAATTATACATTATAAAAGGAAAATATACCTTTTGTAAAAAAAAAAAAAAATGTGGCGTGAAAGTATAATACTACTTGTAGGGGAGACCAGGGACAGTTGTAACACTTTTTGCAATTTTTAGCAATACATCAAAAACCATTTATACTGGAATATCCAATTTGTTATATTATAAACTTCAATCAGTCTACTGCTGAAACAATGTATTAAAGTGGTTTTATGAAATATGTATAGGTTGCAAAATTAATTTCAATATAGTATCTCCACTGTTACAACCGTCCCAGTGTACAGGGACGGTTGTAACATATGTCAGGGACGGTTGTAACATGTCTAAAATATAGGCTACATAATGAATTAAATGATATAACCTACTCAAAATGGAAAATATTATGTATCAGTCATGTTATTGTGACTATTAATTTATCCAGTATCCAACTCTGGGAAGTGTCTTTGATCCCTGACTCCTCTTCTTGTGGAATCGGTGCAGGGTCACATGGCAAATGCCATATGATGACATTTTACATTTAATTTGCTATGCACAATGCACATTTTACTTTTAATTTGCACATTAAATGGAAACTATGCAGTTTTTTTTTAAACTTAATTAGTTTTTAAAATATAAACGAAACTTGGTTGGTGATACAGGGACAGTTGTAACGGGGCGTTACAACCGTCCCAGTATCACCAACCATGTTTTCATCTCATGTGAGCTAGCTTGACTGCTAGTTTGACACTTGTTAGCCATTTCTATTTTTAGCTGAAAAAACAGTGATTCTAATAATACTTGTTTGAATTAATACAATTTTTATTTTATAACAGCATCCAAAAAAGTACATCAGAAAGAAAAGTAATTTTTTTACCTCAAAAACAACCTTTTATTGATAACTCTGCCAGAAAGTTTCAACTGTAGCTCCCTTTTGGAAAAAAATGGTGGGAAACTACCTGAGCATGAGCAGAGTGAGTCTCATCACTCTAGGTTGTTTCTGATTGGAGGAATTCAAAGTGTTACAACCGTCCCTTGTTACAACTGTCCCTGGTCTCCCCTACTATACTATAATAATACTTCAGGTGAGTGTATAGTCAGCATAAAATTTAGATTTCAAGCTGTTGGCTGTGTATTGCATAACAATCACCACAAGATGGTACCATTGATCATCTGTTTCCATCTAACGTTACATATCTCTGCGTACATGATATAACATCTGTTTGTTTTTGTTTTTACACAATTTGTGTTTTTTCTATAGTCTGAACTAAAATGTAAAAGAACCAAAATACAACCAGATTAGAAGGATCTTTTACTATTTAAATAGATCCTGTTAATATACACCTAGTTTTACATTTTCTGACTGGTAAGCAAAGATATGTACTGTAAGATGAAAGTCGTACGTGCCCAAAACATTATAGACTACGCCATGTAAGGAATACCTGTTGTGGTTGTATGCATTTGTTAAGTAAAATGAACTAGAGAACATGGGATTCTGACTGTAATTATCTCTATGTATCACTGGTAACTCTTTTTCTATAACATAACATGTAGCCATCAAGTTACACCGTTTGGTAACACTTTACAATAAGGTTCGTTAGTTAACATTAGTTAACTACATTAGTTAATATGAACTAATAATGAATAGCACATATGCAGCATTTGTTAATCTTTGTTAATGTTATTTTCAACATTTACTAATACTTGATTAAAATCTTGTTAACATTAGTTAATGCACCGTGAACTAACACGAACAAACAATGAACAGCTGTATTTTCATGAACTAACATTAACAAAGATGAACAAATGCAGTAACAAATGTATTGCTCATGGTTAGTGCATGTTAGTAAATACATTAACTAATGTCAACTAATGAACCTTATTGTAAAGTGTTGCCCACCGTTTAATACAACCAAACTATATATAATTAAATTGTTATTAAATTATATGTTAATCATTTATAATAAATATTACATGTAATTCAGATTAATAAAATGTTATAGTCTACATGGCTAATATAATTTTCACCCCGGGAATAATATAATCATTATGAGTATTAATGAGACTTTATGAGAATTTAATTCATGCTAGCTAACAGAAATGGCACCAGTAGTAACTTTTGCTTTATACTCACACGCCTCTAGATGTCACAATACGACCATATAGAAAATTGGAGCACAGTTTTATGTATATACCTTATAAATCATCTCATTGTTTTCATATAACTGGTAAAAATGATAGGCCTACTTGTCCAAGGTGAAGATCATGAAGAGAAAAAAGCAAGTGCTCGAAATATTTGATAGAACTATGATGCTACTACTTCGATTAGTCTGATTATAATCATTATGTACTGTGTTTTTGGTTTTTTTTTATTCAACTGATCTTGTCCATATCCATATTTGGTGGAAATATAGGCATAATACACGTGACAAAATGTTTTCTACCCATCACAAAAATATTAAACTAGCTATAACGTGTAACCAAACATCATTATTTTGTGTGTAAAGCTATTTGTTTTGAGTTTACTTTATGTGTGTGTGCAAAGTTACTTATAGTCAACGGAATGTGTTAAAGGGACCATCATATATTTTTTAGTATCATTATTTAATTATTATTATTTTTCATTATCTTCTGTTTGCGAGGTATTTAAATCGTAAAAACGTTTTCTGTACATTTGTCTTTGAAATAAAATAAAGAGAAAAAAAACATATTGTATCTTATCTCAAGAGCGTGAGCAAAGATTATCTCTATGTTTTAGGACGATAGTCTTTACTGTAAGGAATTTATGTTTTTTGTCGGCTAAGCTTGCTCACTGAAAGCCAAGTGCAAAGTTAGCCCTCCCCTTTAATCGCCTTTGCCCGAGCGCTGATCGCTAGAGGAGGACAGACAGCGGAGAGAGAGAGAGAATGAGAGAATGAAAGGTAGACGGGACTTTACACGGGAATAATGGCGGCGCCGCTCCGGCGGGACACCTTACCTGAGAACTGCTCTTATGGAGTGTGCAAGGACGGCAGGGTCTTTTTCATTGAGTGAGGATTCATGTTTACTATTGCATTAGAAAGAATTTCTTTCCCATAGTGTTCGAGTGTTTTCCAGCTATTGCATCGCTAACAGGTGGTTTGTTTTCCTGCCAGCGATGAATCGTGCACCACCACTTGGATTCATCCTCTCACTGGAGAACCTGTCAATTCTGGACACATGATCCGATCCGGTAAGTGGATTCATGCGTTCATTGAGCTTCATAGTTCCCAGTGTTATTACGTGTTGCAAACAGAACGCTAAAAGTTTCGCAAACGTTGTGTTTTTCTTGCCCCTTAGATCTACCCACAGGTTGGGAGGAAGGTTTCACGAAGGAAGGAGCGAGTTTCTTTATTGAGTAAGTGGATGTGTTTATTGTAATTACACCTTGCTGTGAACATGTGGTGCGTCAGGTGAATTACAGGTTTAACGCTGGTCATATATATGGCCCACACCTGACCATGGAAAAATTAATATTGGGGATTGTGCACGAGACATCAGAGGTAAGCTACTCGGTTATTGTCTTTGTAGACAGGCATTCAAGTCCAAAGTCTGCTGATCAGAACAGGTGTAAACACCTTTTGAGTTTTCAGTTCAAGTCTCTCATGTTGGCTGGGACTCAAAACCATGTTACCAAAATACTGTGCAGTGCTGAAGTCTGAAAATTATAGTAAGGAAAATGCTTGTTTGCTGTATGCTAAAAAATATCTTAAGATTTTGCCAGCGGCAGCTACATAATTTATGAATACTACCCCACCGTACAAAAATATGTTCTAAGAACATTTTGTTAACGTTCCTGAAATAGTTATTTCTGAAAATTCCATTCAGAATGTCCATTTTTTTAATGTTTTTAACAAAATTCTGGGTGATGCAAATGTTAAAGGGATAGTTCACCCAAAAATGAAAGTTCTGTCAGTATTTACTCACCCTCATGTTGTTCCAACCTCGTAAGACCTTCGTTCATCTTCGGAACACGAATTAAGATATTTTTGCGTGAAATCTGAGAGCTGGATCACTCCTCCATACTAGTCCATAGGCTTCTTGAGGGATTGAAACTTGCCGGCCTCGAAAAGTTATTAAAGACATCGTTAAAATAGTCAGAGTGACTACAGTGGCTCAATCTTAAGTTTATCAAGCGACAATAATACTTTTTGTGCGCTAAAACAAACGTAAATAACGACTTTATTTCAACTATTCATTTCCTTCTCTTTGGACCTCTAGTCAGTTAAACTAGTGTAATTGCGTAGAGCTACGTCACGCGTAGGCTCACTATTGGCTGACGCTGGTCATGTGTGATGCGTGTGACGTACAACAGATCATACGCTGTTAAACTAGTAACCTGACTCGAGGCCAAAGAGAAGGACAAGAATTGTTGAAATAAATTTTTTTTTTCTCTCGCACAAAACGTGTTCGCGTCGTTTGATAAACTTAAGATTGAGCCACTGTAGTAACTTGGACTATTTTAACGATGTCTTTAATAACTTTTCGAGGCCGGCAAGTTTCAATCCCTCAAGAAGCCTGTGGACTAGTATGGAGGAGTGATCCAGCTCTCAGATTTCATCAAAAATATCTTAATTCGTGTTCCGAAGATGAACGAAGGGTGAACATGAGGGTGAGTAAATACTGACAGAATGATAATTTTTGGGTGAACTGGCCCTTTAATGGAACATTTTATTTGATTGTTTTTAGAATGTTCTCTGAAGTAGGAACTTTTAAAAAATGTTAGACGAACGTCCAACCGAAACATTTCAGAAAATAACTTTTCATGAAAGATGTATAAATAATGTTTTTGTGCTAGCGTTTTGAGAACATCTTCTGTTAATATTACTGATAGAATATTTGTTCATAACTTTGAAAGAACCTTGCCTGAACATTATGGTGCGTTCAAGTCATGTCGAAAAGATTGTATTTATGAGTTGAACGAATGCACATGAACGCCACTGCAAAGTCGTACACCACAAAGTTCTGAGAATGTTCCCTGTTTGCTTGAAGGCCTTTGTGGCAATGGTTCACATGCAGGTGTGTGTTCGCTTGACTTCAATAGATTTGCTGATACACTATAGATCAGTGATTCTTAAGGTGTGATCACATTAGCGAAACGTCAGCATATGGCATTCAAGTGCAAGTGCGCCTCGAAAAAATCCTCTAAAATCAGTCTGTTTTGTGCTAGTCTTGTTCTCTTCATGGTGTTTGCACTGGTATAGAGGGCTCATCTCTTATCAGATCTGTGTGAGGTGTGTTTAATCCCCTGTCTGGCTTGTATCTACATTTGAGTCTTAATATCTTCCAGGGATTTTTTCATATCTTCAGAGCTGCCTCATGGCCTAAGAATTAATAGAAGGATTAGTGACTGTCAGGCTATCTAGATTTTCCCTCATAAAGAGCTGATTTGGGGATGAATTTGGTATTACGCTGCATGTGGTTGATCAGGACAAAGATAATGATCTTGTAGTCAGTCAGAGCTGAATCTTGAGTATGAAAGAGAAAAAGACAGTCAGCCTGCAGAAGTGTGTTTGCTGACGAATCCAAAACGCATCACATGACTCCAGTCTGTTTGAGGATATTGCATGGGCGGAGCCTGTTTTATTAAAGATAAACAGGATAAAGTAGTGATGGCACTACTGTAGGCTGACACTGTACAGTGTGACTTGTAGTGTGATTAGGAACACAAAGCTAAGTGGTTTGTAATTGATTGATTGAAATTGGTCAACTCTAAGTATTTTTGAGTTTCTGGCCAATAGTATGAAGAGTCATATCTCATGAAGAGTATATGGAAGAGCTTTTGTCCTTTGAGCTGCGACAATTTAAAGTATTAGTTCACTTTTAAAAAAACTTTTGCTGATAATTTACTCACCCCCATGTCATCCAAGATGTCCGTGTCTTTCTTTCTTCAGTCGAAAAGAAATTAAGGTTTTTGATGAAAACATTCCAGGATTTTTCTCCATATAATGCACTTCAATGGGAACCAAATGGTTCAAGGTCCAAAAGACAGTTTCAGTGCAAACTGTTCAAAGGGCTTTAAACGATTCCAGATGCCGAATAAGGGTCTTATCAAGCGAAACGATCACTCATTTAAAAAATAAATAACAAAGTTTAAGTTTTATAAGCACAAATGCTCGCCTTGCTCTGTTCTGTGACGCACTTTCGCGACTCTCCTGTTCGAACTCAAAATGAACAAATCTTTTTCAGAGTCATTTGGTTCATTCAATGAACGAAACGAACGAATTGACTTGAATTTTCAGTGTTTCTGCCTATGAGGGCATTTTCAGTAACGCAAACTAGCAGATATTACAATGATATTACAAGTTTCAAATGTTGCCCAGAAACTCACCTTTATTGCAATCCACATGCATCTTAGATTCATTCTCTGTTCTCTAATCACACTACAATTAGTAATTGATGAAGCTTACACATTTATTGAACTGAACTGACTTGAAGTGAATGATGACATTGTCTTTTTAGAGTTGCTTTACAGCCATGTCCTATAATGCAACAGTAAATCCTGTGCAATAAAGAGGAAATAAACTTGGGATCCTGTGGATCAGGTAAATAATTAACTTTGATAAGTTGCTGAAAGTGAGCTGCATTCTCTGTGAGGGAACGTTGTGTTGACTCAGGACTTGACGGATAGATTTAGCCTGTATTGTGACAGTCAGATGATCCGCCTTCCGATTCTTGTTGTTCTGGCCTTTCCATTCCCAGCGCCAGAGAAGGAGAAGCTGAAGAATGATCTATAGAGGGAGATATGAGAGAGGATCCACCGCAGGAGTGTGCTGGCAGCACTTGATGAAGCACATCTGACACATATTGTGCGTTGTCACTGCTGCTTTAAATCCAGTGTTGTTCTCCTTGGGGAACCAGTTTCCCGGATGCGTGGAAATGTGTGATATTGCATGACTGACAGACAGGAATACAGGCCGCATCCTAAACTACTTTGAGATTTACAAGCATCACTCTCATGGCTTAATGCAGTTTTAATAAGTCTTTTTATTATCGAGCATGTCCTACAGTTCAGGAAGAGTAGACTGTGTTTTATGACGATCGCTGGTTTGGACATTGAGTTTGGGGTTTATGAAGGAATGAAAGCACACCGAAGGGAAGAAATGCACTTAAATCATCATTGCTGTTAGGGTTGCTGTCATTGTGAAACGTTGCGAGTTTATTGTCCTTTTCAGGACCTGGTAGAGCTGCCAGATGTAGATGCACTTATTACGTAATTACAATAACTGTGTAATAACCCTGAACCTACCTCTAAACCTAACCTTAATCCATGTAGTTACCTTAATTACCCAGTACTTAGTACACTGTAAGTGCATGTAAGTACACAAAGAGTTTAAAATTGAGAGCTCCAAACCATAATCAGTGTGCAACTTGCATTGCAAACTCGCTTTTGATTTTGGTTAGTTTGACAGCAATGGTGCAAAACAAGACATTATGTTATCTTTATGTTGCAACCTTTTATGTTATTATGGGGCTGTTTACACCTGGCTATTTTATGCGTTTTCTGTGATCGGATAGCTATCCGATCGTAAAACGACCTGGTGTAAATGCCCTCAGAAACGCATTCGAGACAGATTTGAATCTGATCGCTCACCACTTCAGGAGGTGGTCTGGGCCGCATTCCAGACGAAACTGGACAAGTGTAAATTAGAGCAAGGATTTTGAAGGCCGATACCAATACAAATATTTTTGGGTTTTAAAATCCTATATTCCGATATATCGGCCGATAGTTTATTTTATTTTTTTTTTAAACTGGACATGATGGTCACAAATTTTGTCATGCTTATTTGAGTTAAGAGAACTGATGAGGATGATCTTTTAATTTTATTCAAGCAATGTATGTATCGTGAACAATTCAATGAGTGTTGCCAACAGGAACGGTGTAGAGTGCCCTCTGGTGGACAAACTATACAACTCCAACACTCATGACATGGTCTATTTTTATGTTATTTTTTAAATATTTATTTATCGGCCATTATAACTGCCGAACCGATAGTTTGGAAAATGCCTAATATCGGCCGATAATATCGGTCTGCCTATATATCGGTCTGGCTCTAGTGTAAATGCATCTGGTTGTTGAAACCACATATGTAAATTTTACTCCTCCCAAAAATGCTAAAAAATAAAAGTGTGAGAGCGTGTTATAGGCATCAAAATGAACAAATCTTTTTCTGAGTCAATTCGTTTGTTTTGTTCGGTGAATGAACCAAATGACTCGGAAAAAGATTTGTTCATTTGATGAACGAGTTCGAACAGGAGAGTCACAAAACGTGCATCACAGAATAGAGCAAAGCGAGCATTTCGCTTGATAAGACCTTATTCATCGTCTGGAATCGTTTAAAGCCCTTTGAACAGTTTGCAGTTTCCACTGAAACTGTCTTTTGGACCTTGAACCATTTGGTTCCCATTGAAAAATCCTGGAATGTTTTCATCAAAAACCTTAATTTCTTTTCGGCTGAAGAAAGAATGACATGGACATCTTGGATGACATGGGGTGAGTAAATTATCAGCAAAAGTTTTTTCAAAAAGTGAACTACTCCTTTAACTATCGCAAATCCAGGTGAAAGGAAGTCGCAGACGCTTAACACACAATCATCGCCATTAAAAGAAAAGAAACAAAAAGATCTTACCCGGGCTTTTGCCGCTCTCTCTTACTGCTCTCTTTAATTTTGAATTTGGCTGATGATAAATAAAATGCAGCTTATAACTGTTGCTTTCTGGGACGTGCACTCAATTAAATCTGCTTAGTTTTGCAAAATTAAATCCGTTTTGCATGGAATCGTTTTGATAAATGGAATCGTTTTGGAATCGTTGGAATCGTTTTGATAATGACGAATCGTTTTGATAAATCAGATAGCTATCCATTCTGAGAAAACGCATGAAGTGGTCAGGTGTATGAGAAGTCGCCACATTAATAATGAATGGGAAGCTCTAAATCTATCAAATGTTGATATTGTGACAGGCCGACACAGATAAATCAATGTATGGAAAATAGTGATCGACCGATCTATCGGCCGGCCGATATTTGCGGTTTTTACGTGTATCGGAATCGCCGATTCGCGACTGCTGCGTTCGCCGGTAGTTTTTCCCGGCACAGAAAAATGTAATTTTAAGTAAAAATTTACTTTTTAAGTTACTTTTAAAATGAAGTACAGTGTGCACTGTGCACTTTATTGTGCTGGTTGCTACAATAGTGTAATTATTTCATTTATGCTTAAATATTTATTTTCAGCACTGAACTTTTTTTTTGTTCAACCTCATGTTTTTAATATTTGTTAAATTGTTTATCTACTTGTTCTTGTTCTACCTCAAGTTTTTACTATTTGTTAAATATTGTTTTTTTAAAGTTAAATAAATGTTACTTTTGTTAAATCGAGACCTGTAACATTTGTTAACATTAGTGGTGCAACGGATCATCACTGATCCGTGATCCGTTCGGATCAATGTCTTCGGTTCGGCACACACGTGATCCGCGGATTGATTATGGAAAAAAAAAAAATGAAAAAAACGTGCGCATGTTGTTCAGTCAACGCACAGCTTCGTCATAGCGAGCGGAGGAACGGAGAAGCTTGAACGCCCCGCGTCATTTCAGGGCTCCAGACCAGACTGCGACCAAAATTTGAGAGTGTGCGACAGAATTTTACATCCAGTCGCACATGTGCGACCAGTAAATTTTCCACACGTTAAACGCATGGTAAAGCGGCGCGTCAATGAATCCGTGACAAGAATAGCGCGCGTAAACATCTGTGGGAGGGAGACGGAGACAAATATCACAACCTGATGTGCGTCTGAGCAATCAGCGATCTATCGACTCGTTAGTCGTTACCTAGCAGCGAATGCAAACAAAATGAAAGTGGACCGAAAATACGCTACTCATTTAAGATTAGGACCGTGGAGCAGCAGCAGCGATCCATTGACAAAATAAAGCCCCGAACTTGACAGTCGCGGGCCGATCTCGCTCACGCAACACTGTTACTAGATCCAGTAAAGAAATCCATTGAATTCGCCTCAGAATTAATAACATCAACACCACGAGATCCAGTGAGAAACACTCCGATTCGGCGCAGGTTTCTGTTATAAACCATATCAGATCAAACAGAGCTGACGTGGAAACCAGGAGAAACACTTATAGAAGGCTTTCAGTCCACAAATCAGCCTATATATGATAATGTGTAAGAAATAGTCAAATGCTTACAAGTAGCCTACTACACATCTTTTCCCAGCACTTCAATAATATCATAAATAAATGTTTTATTTTTTTGAATTTTTTATGTGATTACCAACACATTTTTTGTTTATCCTTTAAAGATTGTCCTAAAATG